GATCTGCAGGTCTGAGCCGAGAGGTCAAGGTTCTGTTTGGATAAATGCATAATCCTCATCTGTAATCTGTGATCATCTGTAAATCTGATGCTCCCAGATCTGAATGAAACAATGGGGACTTTGTCTGAAGGATACACTGAGCATCACACTGCAGGATGGCCTCGTCTGGCTGATTTGGGTGCTGCATGGCAATGGCTTGTGGGAATTCTCCCAGCATCCTTTGCTGGAAGGCTTCCAACCTTTCATAGTCATGGCCTCGACAAACAAACTCTTTGTTCTGGGTGTCAATCAAACAAATTATTTTAAAAATCTCACTGACAGAAAACAGTAACTCCTGACATTCCACTCACTCTGAGGAAGAAAGGGAACTTCCTGCCGTAGAATCCGACCCTGAAGAACTCCGGCTCCAGACGCTGCTGTTCCATTATGTTGTCGTAATACGCTGCTTCCATTTTCTACACAAACGGGACAAAAAGGGAAGTAGGTGATCCCCAGTACTCCCACTAAGTCTCTGTCTGATGCTTCTCATCCACCAGCACAGACGTTTCCTTCAGAATAAACGAGGGTGAACATTTCCCTGTGATCTGGATGATTCCGCCTGAAGCTGAATAATAAGTTTGTGTTGGAGCTCACCCGGATCCAGCTGAGGCTCTGGTAGTCATACAGAGACTCATACTGAAAGGCCAGCTCTCTGCACAGAGGAATACCGAACTCCCAACACTAAAACAACACAAACGTCTATTAGAAATATTTCTCGCAAAACCAGATTTTTTGTGAACATAAACCGACCTTTCCCTTGTTGAAGTAGTGGATGACTTTGCGGCATAGACCTTCTTTTCGGTGCCACTCAGTCTGAGCGGGATGATGCAGGAACTCCTTAACGGGGCGCTCGTCCCAGTGCAGCAGCTCCCAGTACAGCAGCAGGGTGAACGCGGCCTCTGCAGACAAGCAACCGTCACTAATGAGTTTTTGACACCGTGTTCACGGGTGCAGCTGCAGGATTTAGCTCCGTACCCGTGTAGTTCTCGGCCTGCAGGTGCATGTCACACAGCTTGTGGATGTAGCGGATGTACATCTCCTCTTTGTTGATCTCTGACTTGTAGAAGTTCTGAGAAAATACAGAAAGAACAGTCAGATAGAAAAACCAGGTTTTGTTGGAGGTGGATTTTAAAAGGTTACTGAGCAACAGGAAGAATCTGACCAGGAGGTTAACAGTGCAGCCGATCTTCTTGTTTTCTGTCTCATCTCCCTTCATACAGTCCCTGAAAACAAAAACACAACAAAAAACTCAGGAACAACCTGTAAATGTGTGTGTGTGTGTGTGTGTGTGTGTGTGTGTGTGTGTGTGTTTTTTACCTGTAGTCCAGCAGTCGCTCCATCAGTCGCGTGACAGATGTAACAAAGGAGATCCCCGTCTCTCTCCACGTCTCCTGCTCAATCTTCTCCAGCAGACTTTAAAGAAAACATAAACATTCACACACGTGTGTTTCCACATGCTGCCAACGATGACATGAATCTAAAACTTGGGAACAAACAAGCAAACTTATAAAGTTTGTTTCTAAGAAAGCTAAATAAATCAGATATAACTTGTTTACATACATTAGTGCCTCATAACTACGGCCCTTTTAAACACATTCTTATTTTTCAGGATAACGACTTAAGTGTGGAATAAATAACTTTAAAGCAAACACCAGTTCATCAGTGCGAACGCAGAGATTCTGTTGGTCTAAATGGTGTACGGATTAAACGTCTCATCTTAAACTTAAACTGCTCCTGATAAATCCTACAGCATGCATTACAGAAGTTCTAAATAATCCATGCTTTATCTACAAATGTAGACACCACTTCAGATTTCTGGTTATGCTCTACTCCGCAGACACGACCAGCAGCATGAATCTATGTGTTTGGGATGCTGTTACCTGGGATACGGCCCAAACAGCTGGGTTCTAGTCCCGCAGCCAAGAGCAAAGCAAACATGAGTGTTAGAACAGAGAACTGAAGGTTATCAGAGGAGGAGTTCAAACACAGAGAGGTTCGGATTAGACGTGACAACCCGAGGCTCTTACAGCAAACCGAAGAGTTCCCGGTAGTTCTCGTCGCCTTTCCCTTCAGACACCAAACTGTCCAACTTATCGATCAGCTCAGCCTCCACCTGGATGGACGTTCAGAGAACGGAGCAGCAGCTTCTTCAGCTCTCTCTTCTGGATCGTATTCGTGTAAAAGGACTGTTGTGTTTATCCGTCTACCTGTTTGAAGTTCCCATTTTTGCGTTGCTCCCAGTCCATCATGTCATGAAAAATGGGAATCATGATGTTTCTCACCTCCAGCTGAGGGACCAGCGTCACTCCCAGGAACGGGCCGATCATTCCCGGGATGAAGTGGATCTTATTCTCTCCTGACATCATATCCAAACTCACATTTCATCATTCAGTAACCACCAAGTGATCTAAAACATCCATGATCTGCTTCTAGGAGTTTATTAGAGCTGCTGATTTCTTTTTGCAGGAAATAAAGTAAATAAATCTCACCCAGGTTCTGCCACAAGTTAAACAGTTCATAGGTCATCATCACTCTCATGTCGCCGTACCTGCAGATGAACAAAAGTCTTTTTTTACCAACCCTCCTCTATTAAACTTGGAGAACAATGAAGTTGGTTTGAGAATCATGCAGCATTAATGTTATTTAGATATTCATGTTTATTTTATTCTGATGAATTAAAAACCCTCTGGAGTTCACTTTTCCACCAGTTCCATACACGAAGTAATGATGCTACTGATTTAATAAATAAATATAATCATAATTTATTATCATTAAACAACAAGCAGGCGTGTGTGTGGGAGCAAACATTACACAATGCTTTTATTAAAAGGAAAATGTGCTTAAGTTGCACAATTTCAATTCAATTCACCTTTATTAAAGATCCAATTAGCATAATTGTACCATCGAGGTGGTTGATGACACATAGATAAATAATTATTAAACTGTGTGTGTGTGTGTGTGTGTGTGTGTGTGTGTGTGTGTGTTCTCACTTGTCTAAGATCTTCTTCCTCTTTGCAAGACTCAGGTTTTCCAGCTGTAAACTCGGCTGGTTAATGTAGAGCACAGCCAAGCTGAAGTAGGAGTTCCACACCTGCTCTCACACACAAGGCAACATTAAAGTATGTTTGTATGCATATTTAACCGTGAGCCAACAATTATTCAAAGGTTCAACATCAGCATCTCTCATCTTCACATTCATGTGCTTATCAGGATAAACTTTTCCCTAAAAAGCTCTAAACTTCTCTTCATCTGAAGGATTTACGGGTGTTTGCTCGAGGAAATACATGAACGCCTTCTCGGTTAAAATAATACATGCACCGTTTAAAATTCATGGCCTCTATTCTTGTGCAAGAGTGAAAGCATGACAATTAAATCTACCTTAAAGTCAAAATCTGTTTCTGCAAAGTTCTTGTGCAGAGCCGGAGCAAGCTGCTGAGCTGTGGTCAGGAGGATGCTGCAGAAAGTCACAAACAGCAGCTGTTCAGCCTCAGGTATGATCCATAAAAACACACGTGGTGGATCAGGTGTGTCTTACTTGCTAGTGAGCAACCTCATGATGTTCCAGTCCCGAGGGAAAATGCTGAGCTTCATCAGATTTCTAAACACACACAAAATCTTCAACAAGAACTCCTGAAGACAAGAAAAAGAGACAAAGTCTGAGTTTGTGAAACAGGAGCTGGATCTCTAGAGTAACGGCGGCTATGACAGGTGAGGTGTCTTCTCTACCTTCAGCTCATCTTTGCTCTGGAAATTCTCCATCAAGCGTTGAAAGTGGATGTCAGTCATCTGACGAAGGAGCGACAGGAGACATGAGACGTATTCTCCCTGTTGAGAGCAAAGAGGAGACGAAGACGATCATGTGACTCGGTTACAATCAGATAATCTGACTGGAGACGATTTCCCCCAAATAGGTCCAGGTTCACCTGTGTGACACCAGATTCAGGCAGTGGAGGTTAATTTCTAAACTTTATTAGATAAACATATGAATGCACAAAAACAGCAAAAACACATGGAGTACTTCTTGGGTGTGAAATAATATAAATACACCGCCCAGCAAAATAAATCTCACACTCTACTATTCCACTGGATGCCTTTAGCTTTGACTACGACACACATTCACTGTGGTGTTGTTTCGATAAGATTTATTTCCATCCAGTGTTGCATTAATGTTCCACCAAGATCGTGCACTGATGATGATAGAGTCTAACCGCTGCACAAAGCCTTCTCCAGCACATCCCAAAGATTCTCCATGGGGTTAAGGTCTGGACTCTTAACCACACTTTCACTATCTGAGCCCGATGAATCCTGGCTTTGTCATCTTGGAATATGGCCGTGCCATCAGGGAAGATGGAATAACCTGGTCATTCAGGATATTCAGGTAGTCAGCTGACCTCATTCTTGGAGCACATCCTGTTGCTGAACCTAGACCTGACCACCTGCAGCAAGCCCAGATCATAGCCCTGCCCCCACAGGCTTGTACAGTAGGCACTAGGCATGATGGGTGCATCACTTCATCTGCCTCTCTTCTTACCCTGATGCACCATCACTCTAGAACAGGGTCCATCTGGACTCATCAGAGCAGTTTTAATGAAGCGTTGGACAGTTCTTGACCCAGTTTTAGTCGTTTCTGCATCTCCATAGATGTTTTCTCTGCTTGATGCCAATGATCTGACCCTTCTCACACAGACTAACATCTTCTCCACGACCATCAGAGGTGTCTTTCCACATGGTTGTTTGAAATGAGAAGCAGCTCATTGCACCAGTTGGGTTAAATAACTTGTTGCAGCTGAAGGATACTCGCCCTGCAGTAATTATCCAATAGGAGGCTCCTACCTGTTTGCTTAGTCAGCTCCATTTGGAGACTTTTTTGGGCTTGGAGGTGAACCTCTGGCGCTCTTCAGTTGAGGGATCCAGTTAAGCTTCTGAAAAACGGGTCTGAGGTACTCAGGAGTAAAACTCGACTAGCCGCGGATTAGAAAAGGCTTACTCATCATCCTTCTGAGAGCCCCAGACCTATTCTTCATGGGCTACACATCAATGCAGTTAGTTCATCAGCAGAATAAATGATGTATGAAGAGCTTATAAAGTAAAAGAATCCTGGATTCAGCAATAATTCTGATGAGTTTAAAACAAGAATCTTGATGTTTACTTCCTGTTCATCTGGTTTCCAATTTCAGTTTTATTAAAAATAAGTAAAAATGAACTTCAAATATGATTACATCAATTCTAGTAAACAGGACAAGTTGAGGCCAGATGAAAGTGAAACATTATTGAAGACAGTTTAACAGTCATGTAAAAATTATTTTAGGAAGTTACACAATTTAATTTACACAAAATAAAACGACTATCAAAAAAAGAAAAATGTAAAAAAAAACCTTAACTCATTTAAAGCATGCAGGATTTCATAACAAGGACAACAACCGGTGTCTGATAAGAAATTAATTCAAAGACAGAACGATGCATGGATGGATTAGAAAAGGGCAATATGGAATAAATATGACCTAATTAACATAACAAGATTAATAATTCATTAGGTCAAATTCAGCTCAAATGTCAAATTATATCCTTCTCCTTAGTTAGAGTTCAACAATAAGAGCAGAACGTGGATATTGCCCGTCTCTAAACTCAACAGAGACGGTTTCACTCAGGATGGATGAGGGAACAGGGCGGGGGGAGAGGGGGGGAGAGTAGTAGTTGTATTGTTAGTTACTAACAGTGATCTCCGCGGTGCACTGCGGACAGCGTTGACCCCTTACCGCCTCCTGCGATTGGCTCTTGCTCATGATTGACAGAAGTGTCTGCAGGAGGACTTCCAGCAAGGACTCCACCATCATCTCAATCTCTTCCTGCACCGACATGTCCTGGAGGAAAGAAGGAAAAGAGGAGGAGTGAAGGAAGGTTTGGAAAACACTAAACACAAAGAAAGAAAGAAAGAAAAAAGAAAGAAAGAAAGAACCAAAGAAGGAATCAAAGAAAAAAAGAAACAAGAAAGAAAGAAACAAAGATAGATAGAAAGATAGATAGATAGATAGATAGATAGATAGATAGATAGATAGATAGATAGATAGATAGATAGATAGATAGATAGATAGATAGATAGATAGATAGATAGATAGATAGATAGATAGATAGATAGATAGATAGATAGATAGATAGATAGATAGATAGATAGATAGATGATGGATGGATGGATGGATGGATGGATGGATGGATGGATGGATAGATGGATGGATGGATGGATGGATGGATGGATGGATGGATGGATGGATGGATGGATGGATGGATAGATAGATAGATAGATGGATAGAAAGATAGAAAGAAAGAAAGAAAGAAAGAAAGAAAGAAAGAAAGAAAGAAAAAGAAAAAAGAAACAAACAAACAAACAAACAAAGAAAAAAGAAAGAAAGAAAGAAAGAAAAAACAAAAAAGAAACAAAGGAAGAAAGAAGGAAAGAAAAAAAGAAAGAAAGAAGAAAGAAAAAGAAAGAAAGAAAGAAAAAGAAAGAAAGAAACAAAGAAACAACGAAAGAAAGAAACAAAGAAAAAAGAAACAAGAAATATAGAAACTAAATAAGACAGAAACAAAGAAAGATAGAAACTAAGAAAGAAAGAAAAAGAAACAAAGAAAGAAAGAAAGATACAAAGAAACATACAAAGAAAGAAAGATACAAAGAAAGAAAGATGGATGGATGGATGGATGGATGGAATAATGGAATGAAGAAGTTGATGTTTCTCCCAATTATTAGTTAATGGCACCATGAGGGTTTTGTTTGCAGCCAAATTCAGTTTTTCAAGATGGAAAAGGCACAAAATCATCTGATGATATCAGACAAGGAGTGTGTGTGTGTGTGTGTGTGTGTGTGTGTGTGTGTGTGTGTGTGTGTGTGTGTGTGTGTTACCAGCGAGCTGGTCTTGATAATGGAGAAGACGGAGCTGAGTATTCCTGAGCAGATGAGGAGCTCTTTCTGTTGTCTCAGATGAAGATGGATGTGATGAAGAACCACAGGAAGAAGGATCCTTCGAGACTCTGAAGAGAAACAGACAAACAAATAAGCAAATGTAACATGTAAAACAACCATAACAGGCTTTATTTTTGCTTTTTCTCCTAAATCTTATGAATGAAAAAACTACCGTTTACAACTCACACCTGAATGCGTTGATGTTCTAAACATTTTAAATCTTTACCAGGGAAGGAGAAGAGCCGGCTGTCTACAGTCCGAGCGATGGACTGCAGCTTCACCACATCCATCGACTGGCCGATGTGCACCGTTGACGGCATGCTGCCCAAAGTGCCTCGAACAAACTCTGCTACCTCCTGGACTGTGAACATCTGTAGCAGCTCATCAAAGATGGCCGGAAACGAGTTCAACAGAGCGGCCTGAAGGAGAGTGAGAGAGATCAGACCAGTTCAACGAAGGAGGTTTATGTTAAAGAGACAAAACTAGGATAATGATGTTAGTTTGTGTGGTTTTAATGGAAGAAGATTTCTGTAGAACAACGGAGGAGAGAAGATCTGAGTCACATGGACACAGGGAACAGCTGATGTCCAAAAGGAGGGTTCCTGTCATCACACAGGTGTGGAAGTTTACACTCATCTACAGTAATGAAATGATACTATCAAGAGTCAACAAACCAGTTTTATACGTTTTTAGCAATATATTCTTATCATTTCAAATTGAACTGCCTCGTTTGGTAAAACAGCTGTTCACCTGTCTAATAACAAAAATCCACAGAAGGGTGGGGAGAGAATTAAAGATCTTTCAGGCATAAAATTCAGGCTAAAACCAAAAAATAAAGGGCAAAAAACTGTTTAAAGTTACTAAATTAGTCTCATTTATTCCTAATCAGCATGATTATTGATAATAACAGAAACACTGCGGCCCTCTGGTGGTTGATTTAAGTAAAACAGTCTAATACTGATGCAGACATAAATCAGATTCTTATGGTTTTAAACTTGCTTCATCACAGCATAAACACCCTTTCAGCCAAAGTGAAACAATATTTATTTATTTATTATTTTCATAAATAAAGATTCTAGTCTAAACATTAAAATATCAGTGATGTCATTTTTCCCAGCTGGCAATAAGATGTCAGATAACAAACAGCCAATAATCTGGTCTTTGGGGGTTATTTGCAGCTTCCTTTGCTTTAAATGTGAAAATAGCAAACTAATGTTTAGGAGATGATGCAAATTCACACATGAAGTTGCTGCTTTTGGGGAAGATGTGGGTCAATATGATGAGTGTGGCGTGTAAGGAAGGGGTTTGTAGAGCAGCATCCACGGGGTGTGAATCATCTGTGCACGACAGACAGGAGCGTGGGTAAGGTGTGTGTGTGTGTGTTGTTAGGCTCACAAACAGCTAAGAACATGAACAGGGGCTCTGGGCTTCACACAGGAAACTGGGAGCTGTTTCCTCTCGTCTACTTACTGACAGTGGCGGCGGCCGCAGAGCGTTGGAGCTCAAGGCCTGGGAGCAGTTAGTCAGCCCGGTGCCAGGAACCAGTCCCGGGACAGGGAACTGGGCTTGTCCCAGGGCATACACTAATGCTAAGGGACCAGCAGGCCCAATGATGGTAGCTGGAGCCTGATTTGGACCTGGACAAGGCTGGGAGCCCTGTGGTGAATGGGCAAAGAGGAGGCCCGGGAGAAATGAATGGGATCCGGTTGAAGGAGAATTAGGGGAGTTTGAAAAAGAAGGTGAGGCGAGTAAGCAAGGAAAGGTCCGAAGGATCAGACAGAAAAAAGGTAAACATGGAGATAAAAGTCAAACCTAAGAGGAAACGATAAAAAAAGTTACTAAACTACAAAGTCAACTAAACTTTCAGTGTTACACAAAGACCTCACTTTCCTTTTTTTTCTTATCTCTACAAACATGAAGAATAGAGTCAACATCTCACAGCCCGGCGACTGCCGGGGACCACATACGAACAGGATTTGCAAAGGAATTTCCTAAATGTTGCGGGAGTTTATTAAATGCTTGAAAAATTTGTGCAACAACTTTTTTCTGAAAATAGCCGTTGGGCATCTGGAACCCACTCTAAAAGTAGCTGAGTCACAATGTGATAAAACATGTGAGTCAGATTTGAGAAGGTCTGGCCACTAAACGGAAACAAAATTAGGATACTCAGTAAACCAATTTTGTTATTTCTTTGGAATCAGATCATCTCCATGTGATCCTGACATGAAAAGAAAAGATAAGGAGTGCTGCACAAATTCAGTTTTTTTTTTTCAGAACAAATTCTGCACAGTTTGGTTTTCCAGCAGTGACAGTGAGGTCCTGGATTTCAGGAAATGTTTTCTGCTCGTTCGTTCAGAGTGTCTCCCCACCTGGGTGAAGATAAGCGTCTCTGAGTTGCGGCTGTCCAGGCTGAGGACGAAGCGGATGGACTGAAAGAGTTCCTGGATGCTGGTGCGAAACTGTTCCTCCTCCATCCCACAGGTGGCTCGTGAGTAAAGGATCCGGGACTGGACAATGAACTTAAACAGATACTCCAAAGCCTGGGGCAGAAAAATCAAACAAAAACAAGTTAAAGCAACAATAATGTGTTTTAACACATTAAACCGTTGCTTTCTAACTAGTTTGAGTGGGTTTTCAGCCATAGCCTTTAGCAGCTAATCAGAGGACAGCACTTTGCTGCCCTCTGCTGACCAGAAGCTGCACACAACAGTTTTGTGGTCCTGGTAGGACCACTAGAGGGTAGTCTCTACCTGCTTCATGGCTGGTAACGGTTTACAGTACCAGGTGCAAATCGGGTGTGTTGGGACTGAATAAATAAAATCTGAGCTCCATATGAAGGCAAATGTAATCCATCTGTCATCAGTGACTCTTCATAAGTAATTACAGCAAACGGCCTTCAGACAGAGCTGTGATGAGGGTTATGAGGGTTCTCTTCACAGATGAGTGAGTTAGTAAAAGAATGTGTTCATAAAGGACTCAAAAAGATGAACAAAACAGTCTGATCTGAACCCAAAGCTGCAGGATGTGTCAAAACAATCCTCAATAATTCAAACCGTCCACTTCTACAAGACAGCGTGACCCATTTAGGAAGAATGTTTGAGTCGGATTAATATTTTAGACCACGGAGCAGTTTTGTTGGATACATGTGGTACATTGTGCATATTCTTAGGAGGGTACGAGCTTTTTCTGCAACACTGACTACATGCCGCCTGCTGTTTGAAGTAAAAACATCCAGGACACGGAGTGGGAATATAGAACATTTGAAAATGATTAAAAGTCTGTAGTTCAACAATGATTGCTACATAAAAGTCAGAAAACGTTTGAGCTTTGTTAAAACAATGAGTAAAAACTACAAAAGTAGCAAATATCTGATCATCAGGATGAATAATGCTGGTTTTTACCCTCATGGCCTCCTGTATGTGGTCCTGTCTGACCACTTCGGCAGATCGGTCCATGTACCACTTCAGACAGCGGATCAGCTCCCTGAAACACAACCAGTATAATCTGCACATGACGCTTTTTTTTAACATTAATAGTTAATAAGTTTTGAAGACAACACTGATTTACTGTTGGAATTAATTTAAAAGAATTCATGTAACCATAAATGTTTTGGAAATTTGGGAAAATAAAAGTAAAATTTCCAGGCGATATACCAGATGAGCATCAGTACTTCTCAGGATTAAAAGCTTAAGTCAATTATTATTTTCATTTTGTTTATATTAACCTTTTAATTTTTTTTTTTGTATTTCTAATATTTTTTTACTGGTGAAATATTTATATATATTATTTTAAAGAAAATCAACCTTGTGATTAAAAACACCAAAACAAAACATCTAATAACTTATTTGTTTTAATTATATGAACTTATTTGCATCAATTAGCCTTTATCACATCTGATGTCAGCATCAAATGATCACTTACTGATAAAACCTTATAACTAAAATCAATTTGGCCCTTCAAAATAAGAGTTTTTGTTCAAATGTAACTTTTGAAAACTTTGGGTGTTAGCGATCACATTTACAGTTCTGTAAAGTAAAATGAAGCATTCTGGGTTAGAAATCTGCCCATTTGTTTAAAGTTTTTTACATTTCTGTAGACAATTAGTGAAAATGCTGCATTAAACATATAGTAGGTTTATAAACATAGCAGTAATATTCACCTGCATGCCTTAGCAACCATCATAAAAGGGATGTCCCGTTCAGATATCGATATCAGAAGTAATTCGATATCAGCCCCAAAAGAGTGTATCGGATTATATCGGACGGCATCAAAAATCTCCAATATAAGCAGTCCATTAAGGTTCACAATTTTACAACCAATGTTTAAAAATAATTGCCATTTTTTTCATACTTACTCTTATTGGCTCTTGTTGTCCGATTGAGTAATATCACTTGATCAAGCCTTTCATACATTCCACACGATGAAATAGGGAAAAGTATATATGATTTGTGCCGATATATCAGATTGATATCGGTCAATACTGAAGGCTGCAATATCGGTATCGTACAGGAAGTGAAAAAGTTGTATCGGGACATCCCTAATAAAAACTCATCAGTCATACTTTAATAGACAAAAACACTTTGGAGAGCATATTATTAAATTACTGGTATACTATTTAAGGTCATAAGTTACTGCTGGATGCTGAGGTATCGATGTACTTATTTGTTTAGGTATTATTAGTGCTGTGATGCTGTATAAACACCTTGAGCATGTGCAGGTGAGCTGGTGGAAATCTACAACACTTACTTGTAGGCCAGAGCGCCAGCAAAGTGCTTCTGGATGTACGTGTCCATCACCGGCCTGAAGTGGTAATATTTACTGTCCCTGAGCAAGTTTATGATAAAAACCTGAAAGAAAGAGGGTACCTCATAAAAAACAAGATAACTCTCTGGAGTGCTTTAAACTGGTTCTCATCTCATCTTTCTGGAGAACTTTTAGTGTTTCCATCAATGAGCTGCAGTCTGAACAAAAGCCAGTCACCTGTAGGGTACCCCAGGGCTCGGTTCTGGGACAGATCCTTTTTCTTTCATATTTGCTCCCCCTCAGGTAGATTATTAGTAAGTTCAGTAACCTATCTTATCACTTCTATGCTGATGACATTCAGTTGTATTGTTCCGTAGGTTCGGGTGAGCTTCATAAATTATCTGCACTAATCACCTGCTTGTCTGAAATCAAGCAATGGTTAAATGAAATATACTTGGGTTCTCATAGTTGACACCCTAACCCTGACAAGGAACTCCCTGGTAAAAAGAGCACCTAGGTCTCTTAGTCCTCTTTTGTCCAACCATCCATACAGAACCTAGGTGTCACATCTGATTCCGCAACATTGTTTCAACGAAATTGTAATCAATTCATTAAAAACTGCTTCTTTCATCTCTGGAACATCATGAAATTAAAACCTTTAATTTCCAAGAACAACCTGGAAATGGTCATTCTTGCTTTTGTTTCATGGCACCTGGACTACTGTAACAGTCTTTTAGCTGGTCTAAACCTCAAGCAACAAAAATGTTTACGACTTGGAAAACTCTGCTACACGACTGTTATCTGGAGTTCATAAACATTCCCACATTACTCCTGTCCTGGCTTCACTCCACTGGCTTCCTGCAAATTTTAGAAGTAATTTTAAAATCATATCTTTAACTTTTAAAGCCTTACGTGGTCAAGCCCCGTCATATATGACTGATTTGGTGCAAATCTACACTCCCAAATGTTGCCTGAGATCAGAAGGTCAGATTCTCCTGATGGTACCAAAAACCCGCCTGAAGTCCCGGGGTGATTGCTCCTTTAAGGCTATGGCTCTGCGGCTGTGGAACGATCTTCCCACATGGTTTTAAATCCTTTTGCGTGTTTAAAAACTGTTAAAAACTTGGCTTTTTAAACTTGATTTTGCATAATTTTATTGCTTGTCTTACGCTCATGCTTGTTCATGTTATTTATTCTGTTTTAATGTGAAGTTACTTACTTTCTTTTAATTGTAAAGAAAAATATTTCTACAAACTCCAAATATAAGCTTGGGAGAAAACATTTTATTTCAGTAACTCTATAGTTGACAGGTCAACTGAACTGAAACTTGATAATATTAATTTGTTTTGTTGTCTTATAAATATCTAAATGTTCTGCAGCCGAAGACAAGTTACACATCAATCTGAAGTTTTATCTGGTTCATAAATGAGCCAGAGATGTTTCTGCAAGATGCCGTCTCAAAGTTATATCAAAGTGATGACATGCCACATGAGTTCATAATCATTCTTCTGTTTTTTATTTTTAAATTGGCTCTTAGTTGGTTTCAATTATTAGCCTCAAAATGTTCAGTTTTACTTAATCAATTTGTTTTCTTTGTTTTCAAACACGTACCAGTGACTGGAACACAAGAGGCCCAAATTTGTCCGTGTTGTCGTCCAAGATGGAGAACAAAGTGTCCAGAATGTCTTGGAGAAACTGTCACAAATAAGCACACAATCACACCCGTTTAGTTATTTTGTTCTTTACAAATGCAAAGAGGTTTGAATGAAGACAATTGGACCTATCTGGTTTATGGAAGATGTTTCACTTCTCAAAAAAAGAGCTTTGTCAATTCTGATTGGAATATGTGAGACTAGCTTTGAAATTCTAGCTGTCTGTTGTTGCTTAATGAGCTCAAACTACCTACGGATACCCCTCCTCCCTACCCCCTGAGGAGTTGTTGAAGTCATTAGCCCCCATTGTGTGGGAATGGTTGTTTTGATTAGATGCAAGAGGGTGTGACCTAGACTAAAACTGTTTTGGAATTAGGTTTAAAGCTGCACTGTAGATGTTGGAAAGGTGAAACCTGAGGCCTCCTCCTCTGTTTAATGTAGGTGTCCAGTTGCCTTTTCAGATCTTTTTGGAGTACCATGACTTGGATGACTGAGAACCTTCACCAACATATTCTTAAAAAATCAAACGCCTGTTGGAAGCTGGGCATGATGATACTTGTTACAGCCCTGCCAAGCTAGAGACAAAGCACTCATCCAGTAAGCAAACAAATGTTGCTGTGCCAGTGCAACCAGATGATTGGCTGCTTGAAATATCCCTGCTGACGTCCCTTTGCATTGGTCTGGCTGTGTTCAACCTGCAATTGTGCTAGTTGTTTAAAAGCCTGCTTGGTGCAACTTCAAGACAGATCTGGGTGTTTGCAGAGATCACTTTTGGGAGCTTCTGCCAGAGTGGCACTCTTGTTAGGCCTTTCGGAGGCCAATTAAAAACAAAACAAAACACGTAAACTCACACCATTTATGCCAAATTCCTCCTTATGTTGTGGCCCCAAGAGCTGGGCTGTAAAATATGGGGGCTTGTCCGGGACCTATCTGGAGTTTTAGTTGAATTTTGTGTTTTAAATCCTGGTCTGTGTTTGTCTTTTTAGCACTTTGTTTGTAGCTTGTGGTGAGTTTATTTTGTTTTACTTCATGAGCTGGAGCTCCATTAACTGTAATGTGTTTATGTGGGTTGTCAGATCACTGCTGAGTCAACACTGAAAGAAGACGGCAGCCTGCTGGACTTCATCAAGCAGAACATCCATCCAGATTTTAACATTTATTCACAAAAAACCAAACTACAGAGAAATGAAGGGTGATGAGGTTTGCTGTCAGCGGTTTCACTCCTCTGATGATAAGAGCCGCCAGACAACTTTAGACATTCAATCTCACAATAAGACGAGGATAACATATCATCACCGGGGGGCGGGGTCACAGGGATATTACTGAGCAGCGTCAAAGTTAAGAATATTAAAATCCAAATATATCAGGGACAAAATTATTGTTTACAGTGGAAATAAAGGATTCCCATTTTTAGATGTAATTACATTTTTTATCATAATTAAAATTAAAGTCATCAGATTTAACCTGACCTTTACTATTTCTTCCCCGCTGACGTGCCGAAGACGCCCGAGGATGTCCATGACCCGGTCAGGGTGAGCCTTCCACTTTAGCAGGGCCAAGAGGTCCACTGGCAAACAATTATACAGATATACAACATTAATAGAGAACAGCAGCAGAAATATTCAGACAAATGAAAATTAATTCAGCATTTTGGAGGCAGAAGGAATTTCAGTGAACGTTCACATGACTTTTTAATACGAGACTCTGTTTTTGCTCTTCACAAACGATTCATAACAGATGACGGCACCGCGCTATCATGACAAAATCTTACCTAATCATTCATTAAAAAACATTTTTGCAGATCCAGTCTAATATTGCAGTCGCTGTCAACTCCTCTGAATGCTATTCAGAGCCTGAAGGGACTTCTGTCCCTAAAACAGTCAAAGTGAGAGTTGATCTAGGTATCAGCACCGTTCTGAGTGAGTTTGGTGGAGGAGAGCTGGGTGCAGATCCAGAACGTCTCCTTGGTGCTTCGCTGGAAGATGAGGCTGGAGGGGATGTTGGGACAGCTGTTGAAGTCATCCTTACAGCACGGCAGGCCCAGGTAGAGGGCGTGGTTACTGAAGGTTGTGTTCTCATCACACTAAAGAGGAGGAGAGGGAGGAAAACAGCTCATTTAACTCAGGAGTACAGAGGAAATTAAGCTCTGCTGGTTTTTATGTGATGCAAAGAAGCAGGAAGTGAACCAAAATAGTTAAAAATGTCCAAAAGATTAAATATTATTAGTTAAAAGTGTCCATCTGACCTTGTAGACGTAGAGCTCGTGACTCTCGTCAGATAAAGTAGTTCCATCCTCCCTCATCAGTGGAGTGAAGGCAAAGCCAAACAACTTTTTCTCTCCTTTGTCTTTTGCTGAAGAGATGGGAAACAATAAAGAAGCGTGTTCAACAGAAAGGTCATAACCTCCAGGTCCTTCAGCCAAGTCTTTCACTGCTGTGAAGGAACTTCACTGACTTGAACAATGTCTGAACTCAAATCGAAGGTGAGAGCCTCGGAAGCGGTCGATGGGAATCGGCAGTTTGATGACTTCGCTCCAGCGGGGGCTGTTGTTGTGGTAGAGGACGAAGGAGCGGTACTCGGGCAGGTTGGGCTCACCAGAACCCAGGCTGATGCAGTCCTGCAGGCAGAGACATGAGGGGTACAAAGCAGGTACATTTAAAGCAAAATATAGCTTACTTTGATGTAAGGGATGATATTTTTTATAATATTATCATCATTGCATTATTACATTGTGCATTTTTCCCCAGGTTCAAACAATAATAAACGTAATCTTTGCTTTATTTTGTGAGCCAGGGCCTCTGCCATCTTGGAGGTGATCATGCAAATGAATCATCAAAGCCCCAAACTAGATATACATCAGGATCAAGAGGAGACGTAAAACAAAAGCAGTGTTCTTACTTTCCAGACAGCTTTATTACCTCTTACATGTCAAACAAAAAGGCATCTTTCCTGCAGGACACCCTCCCCTACCTTTAGTATCTCTCCATCAGCGTAGAGGACATACATGGCCACCTCGATGTTCTTCTGAACGCTCTTCCCTCCCCTCTCAAAATCTCCTCGCTCGAGTGTCAGGTACAGGTCGTTACGGATGTCGCCTGTGTTCAGAAAGAACATGTCAACACGCATTAAAAATCTCGGGATGTACATTAAATCTAAAGTAAACCACACAAAACCAAAGGACACGTGTGTCCACAAGCACAAAGCCACTGAATCTGAGACACATTTAAAGCTGAATATCTGTAACATACAGGAGACAGACGATATGTGTTAACGTGTGTGTGTGTATGTGTGTGTGTGTGTGTGTGTGTGTGTACTCATTTGTCATTTTCAGCTTATCCCTACAGAGGAAGTGGCACTCTAAATATATCAGGATGGGCGTTAAATAATCACTCCATCACCGCCGGAGAGCTTCATGTGTGTGAAAGGTGTGAAACACCCCTCAGGACCTGGAGTGTGATACAACAACAGCACGGCCGATGTCCTGTCCATGTTGGAGGATGTTTTCAGGGTCAATGGTAAATAGACAAGCTCTAGAAAGGTCGAAGGTGCAATATGTAAGAGTGAAGCACGAATGGCATCCTGTGGTCAAATTTGGTTACTACAGTCACCTTCTCACTCCTGTTCCGTGAGTTTCATGGCTACTGCCGGGTATGGGTCAGCACCAGAAGATGATTCTAGATGATGAGCAAATATGAGTCATACACAGTAAGCTGATAAGTAGGTAAATACTATATCAGGTGTTAGCCCTCTTCGGTGTTTTGTGGTAGGAAGTACTACTACACTCATTACGGTAGTTTGTCTCCATCATTACAGGAAGTTTGGTTGTTTGCCATCTTGCGGTTATAGTTAAACGCCACAATTGACTCATTATTCACTTCACACACACATTTAACTCTAATGTCGAGTTGTTGGGAATTGAAAAAGAAGCTTGAGTTATTTTTAGAGCTGACTATTTGCTTTTAATTTACCATTATTGTTAGCTCAACGCTAGCCTCTAGCCTGCTTCACCTGATATTAGAATAAAACTGTGCGATTTTTGACCCATTTAGAGGCGATTCTCCTCTCGTGCGAGAATCTTTGAGGTTGAGGTGAGTTTTGCATTGTGTAGAACACAGGGGCTTACGAGAGGCGATGAACACCTCACAATCAGCTCTCGATTAGCAATAGTGTGGTTACTCGTCCCCTGTGAGAGAACTGCTCACACAGCGCACATGTAAACACCACTGCCCAGGTATTTCTGAGTAAACACACGTTGTTTCTTTTCATTATAGAAATCAATAACAACCGGATTTTCTGACTCAAAGTTCAGAAATTTTGTGTTAAAACTACTATTTTAGCATATATTTATGTCCAACGTGTTACTACCACACGTACAGTGGGATCAATCTCATCGCATCAGTGTGAGAACATGACTCGTGAGCTTTGCTCTGCGAGGAAGTTGTACTGTTTGAGATGGAGCTAACTGCTACAAGTAAAAAAAAGTCTCACAGTGGCTTTGGGGCACAAGAAATAACTTCTGGGTGACTTCTGTTAACTGGCTTCTTTTAACAACTCCGGAGCTTTATGCCTGCTTGTGTCAAATTACAAATGCTTGTGCTGCAGTGTTAGCTCGCCAGAGACATGGCGACCTCACTGATTTGAAGCGTGACTGGCAATCCCCCAGCTGACTGAGGATGAAATCTGTTTCCGTCCAACATTATTGAGACATGGGATTATTTCACTGTTTAACTCTTCTATATTTCTGCTTTGATGTTTGGTCCTGATTATAAACTCATAAAACAGAGATGAGTCTGCTGACATGGAGGGTGTGCTCGTGTGCACATGCAGGAATACACAAGCCACCTGCTGGGCTGTTTGTTCACATTTTATTTACTCATTTATATTTTTGGCATCAGAAATCAACAGGAGGCGACAATTTTCAACAAATGGGTAAAAAAACAAGAAGAAGAAAAACTGATTTTAAAGAAACCTGACCTCACTTTCTTCTTTTGAGTTTTGGCAAAAAATATTTTTTACTTGGATTTAATCAGAACTTCATTTGTCTGAAAAGTTTAACTCTAAAATACAGTAATCTAATTTTAAGCATTAAAACAGCAACATGTTGACCTGAGTCACAGAGTAAATTAAAGAGCAAATCGCCCCCAAATCCACTTTTTTATGTATTAACTTTATAAATGAGAATGTAATCGTGCTGCAGACACGTGTAGTCAATAATTTGGTACTTTAGTGCAACTTAGTTAAAATTTATACATTCTACCTAAAACTTAGTGTTGTGCTGCCCTCAGGTAAAAACTCTGCACTGGATTTGAATTTAAATCTGCTATTGCTATTGGCTAAGAGGTACACTATGACGTTAGCTGCATTATGATGTCACAATGTTGTTGTGAGCCTATGTGTGTGTGTGTGTGTGTGTGTGTGTGTGTGTGTGTTTGTTAGCGGCTCCGCCCTCTCGGTCTGCCAGGCAACAGCATTTGTTTCATTTTTCAAACAGGAAGTAAGGCTCGGGTAGGGGGTGACTTGGTCTTTAAAAACACTGCAGGTCGACTGAAGGACATTTATAAATGTGTCAGCGCTAGCAGAAAGTGAAGGGATGCATCTGTAAGAAACCCACTGACGTCAAACACATTCACACGGCCTGCCATATTTATGCTGCCATCTCATTTGTTTTTCATGCTGGAGGAGCTTACGTTGTTGTGTTTTCTGTCACTGGGGCGAAAGCTGTTGCTGCATGTTAAAATCACACCGGGAGTTTGTAAAAGATCCTATATGAGATTATTTAGCTGTCATAACAGCGGCACATCTGGTAAATAATAATGTTAATTCTCTGAAATCTGAGCACTATGAGCAAAAAATGTCTGGAAATTTTCTGTAATTGCTGTCATTAATTCACCACAGTCGTGTAAATTCAGTAGTTTTGAGATCGTCTGTCATATTTCAGAACATTTTACAAGACCTTTCTTAGTCATTATTCTAAAACCATTGATTGGGAATGTGCTTGTTTCTTATCTCTTATTTTTTGCACCAAGTCCCGCAGCAAAACCCTAATGTTGTGATTCCCCACACGTATGGCAAAAAAAACATTCTGATCCTGATTCTGATGAAGAAAAAGAAAAAGCATCAAGCTCCAGAAAGGGAACACAGAAGAAAACATCTCAAGTACAGGTCAACCGATTTGGGTTTTTCTATTGCCGATGCCGATGCGATATGCAAGAGGCATGGCCCACCGACACATTCTTTTCATGCTAAAATGTCGCTAATAACATCAGTTGATGCTCAAAATTTCTGCAACATTTAACTAACTGTTAAATCTGAACTTTGTGCACTACTCAGTGTTATAGACAAGCATATAAATAAAGTTTGTTTAGAATACTTATTTAGTGAACGTTAAAATAAATTTCAATTAAATTCTGCAACAGCACCAGGCTGTCCGAGGATGTGCCTGACTTTAAATCGGCTTTACAAAGGACAAATATCGGCCGATACCGATGTGTAGAAAACTGTAAATATATAATTATCTTATTTTTTGTTATTTAATGCTGAAGTAATAAAATGTTTCTTTACTTTCGGCTGGCATTTCAGCTGGAACTTCCGCCTTCGCCAGAGCCGCCAGCCGTTTGGGCAGCAAAGGACAGTGTTACCCTCTGCTGTCCGCACAGCTGGTGGCAGTTGGGGCCTGTAATGTGTAAACGGACGTGGAACATGATGTGTACTGAACTGAACACAAGGTGGCAGCAGAGCACTGCTAACATATTATATTTAGAGGTGTACTGTAGAGTTCAGGAGAAGTTCTGCTGAGGGTTAAAGGATGAATGCTACATGTGTGCTTCTTCCTCCTGCTAGAATAAAGTTCATATGGATAAAGTTACTGCCTACCAACTACAAAACAATGATAAAAAAGATATTTTTTTCTTTTTTTGTGAAGAGCAATTAGTTTAATTGTAGTTTTAGTCGTGTTTGGAGCTTGTAAAAAGGTTCATATGGTCTTGTAGCCAAAGCTCTGTGGCTTTCTTAGAGGTGAAGCTTGATGATGTTTATTGAATAAATTAATTGCATACATTTTGATGCTAAAGTTAAACATTTTTAACACATTCTTTTTCTCTAATTAATCATAATTAATGCGTTAAATTCCTAATAAAAACATTTCATGAGAGAGAGAGAAAAAACTGTGGCTTGCAGCTTCTGTTAGTGGCTGATTTATTCTCATCCTCATATTTTCTGCCCAGGGAAGAATTAAAAATAAATTAAAGCAAGTTGAGGTGGACTTGCATCATTTTTTTTCCCTAGGATGTCTGACTCACCCGGCATGATGACATCTGGGAACCCCAGCTTCCGAGTGATGGCCACCCCCCTGCTGAAGATGAGTGGGTTTTCTCTGCGGACCTGCTCTATGTCTCCTCTCAGCAGCTGCAGGGAGATGATCAGACCTGCAGGGTTTCACCAGGAGAAAAAGCTAAATAAACAAATGTTTTCATCCTTTTTACCAATTATGTACTCTGGAGCTGCTGTGGCCTTTCTGAGCAGTTTACATAATCTCACCACACACCCGATGATTTCTCTATAGGTTCTCCAGTTTCTGTGCATGAGAGGTTGACTCTACATCCTCACTAGGTGAGTGTGTGTGTGTGTCTCAATGATACCATGTGATGTAACACCTGGAGATCCATCCAGAGTGCCCCAGCTTGGAATTAACTTTGCAGCAAAAATTAAAAAATCCTCCAATTTCTGAAACCCCACAGAGTCAGAATTTTGTGGAGGTCAGAGTGAAGCATGAGGTCAGCATGACAGTCGCCTACAGCAACACCAATTAAGATGATTTTGCAGCCGAAGTAAAGAGATGACGAGATGCTTCAGTGAGACGGTCTGGACGGGTTGCTTCAAGTAATTTCTGTTTACTAATCTAAGATCAAGCTTTCTATACACAGTCATTTCACTTTTGTGAGGATTCCGGCAGAATCACAATGAAATCTGAAAAATGAAAACCAGCTCAGCGGCCTCTCTCTCTCTCTCTCTCTCTCTCTCTCTCTCTCTCTCTCTCTCTCTCTCTCTCTCTCTCTCTCTCTCTCTCTCTCTCTCTCTCTCTCTCTCTCTCTCTCTCTCTCTCTCTCACACACACACACACACATACACACACACACGGCCTACCGTAGTTGATGCTAGGCGCTGTATATTTGTTGCTCGACTTGCGGATGATGTTTTCATGGATCTGGTACCACTCGTTCTCATTGTTACACCTAGAGATAAACAAAAATGTCTCATCAAACCAAAACAAATCTAATCCAACTGATAGAGAGTGGATAACAATTTTATTTCAGGCTTTTTTTTTGTTTTTGTTGATTTTGATACACAACATTAATTAAATGCAGGCGAGGCTTTTGATGTTTTAGCTCAAAGGGATTCTCTCTTGTCATCTATAAAGTGTGTGTGTGTGTGTGGGGGGGGGGGGGGGGGGGGCTGACCTGTGTCAGTGTGTGTGTGTGTGTGTGTGTGTGTGTGTGTGTGTGTGTGTGTGTGCGTGCGTGTGTGTGTGTGTGTGTGTGTGTGTTAATAAAGGGCCACTGAAGGCATTAAAAACAAAAAAATCTGCAACTTCTCAGATATCTAAGATCCTCTGTCCTCTCTTTTTCTAGTGTCAGGTTGTTAAGGGGCTGGAGTCCCACAACAAGATGCAGAGAACAGAAGGAATGAGGTGAGATCATTACAGTAAAGATTAAACAGCTTTTTGGCTGAACTCCGAATGAGTCCTTCATTCGGTTTTCTTTAATCCATCCTTTCTCATATGAAGTTAATGTGCGTGATTTTATTAAACCATTTCAGGGCGCCGGGTTCATAATCCATCTTTTTTGGATTCACCTCTTGGTGAATCGATCACATTTACTCTAATGAGCAGAAATTCACCCAGAGAGGATGAGAGGTTTGGTGCAGCTCAGTAGAAAGACGAAGACAAACAACAGATTTTGGTTACGGTTTACTCACGTGTAAACCTTCAGGACAAAGTCTTTCTCTTCTTTTAACTCTGAGATTATCTGCAGCACATCGCTCATGGCCAGAACAGCGCAGCCGTATGGCCGGCGGTACTGAACATGTGGCGGGCCTTTCTTACTGTCGTTCAACAGCATGCGACCTGCAACAGGACGGTAAAACAGAGTTCAGCTGAATTCAAAAACTGTGCCTGAGTGAGCAGAAGAAAACTGTAAATCTCATAAGTCAGATTTTCCCTCTTGCGACGTGTCGCTGGTTTTATAGTTTGTGTTGCAGGGATATTATGACTGTTTTCCTAGGGTTAGGTTATCGTGACTTGAGTCTGACCTGTGCGGATCACTTGTGAGACGATGTAGAGATCTCTCTTCATGTCTTTGTTGCTCAGATCCTGCAGCGTCCAGGAGACAAGAGACACGATTCTGTCACACTAAAACACTCCAGGAAAGGAAATAATCTGATGTGAGACAAATGTACCTTTCTAACAGTAAAGATAAATAATCTGCTCTAGTGATCGTTTGACCCTGACAATTTCTATTTTGAGCAGCAGGGGGCAGTGCAGCTTTAATTTCAGCACCTCACCTTCTAGTTTCTTACCTAAATGGTCCTGTGTGTGTGTGTGTGTGTGTGTGTGTGTGTGTGTGTGTGTGTGTGTGTGTGTGTGTGTGTGTGTGTGTGTGTGTGTGTGTGTGTGTGTGTGTGTGTGTGTGTGTGTGTGTGTGTGTGTGTGTGTGTGTGTGTGTGTGTGTGTGTGTGTGTGTGTGTGAGATACCGTAAAGAGCGCACAAAGCCGGTCCACCTTCTCTGGATTCTTTGGTCCTCCGTTCTTGTTCAGTCTCACCATGAACTTCTCACTGAAAAACAGACTCAAAGGTCTGAGCTCTCTGATCCTCCACCACCTGCAGGGTCGCTGCTGCACGGTTGTGTGAAGGCACCGTGCTTTATTTCTAACGTAAATATGGGAAGGTTTGTAATTAAAGGTGCCAGAGTTTGAACCGTTGTCAAACATCATCATGTCCGACTTCACTGAATCATCTCAGATCTCAAGATGAAGAAACGCTCGCAACCTTGTTCTAACCCCGACACCCCCGGTCGATCTTCTCAGGAGATTTGTGACAGAGATGCTCGTTTTCTTCCCCTGAAGCACAAACAGCCAGAAACTAAAGCATCACGTCTCAGAGGGGACGTTCAACTCAGCCATTCTTATTTTACTCTGCCACAAGTCAGTAAGATGTTTGGATTCTGATATGTTTTATTCATGTTTACTTTCCCAAGTGTTTAAATGAAACAAACCGGTAATTGCAGATTTAAGCTGCAGTTTGAATCCAACTCTAGACACGTTTTATCAGACTGTGGACGGAGAAGTTTTCTTTACATGTAATTTGTTCTTCTGGGATGTTGATGTAAGAAGCAACAGCCTCAGGGCTGTACTGGCCCTGGACCGCCTCATCAGGGGCTCAAACTTCTCAAACAAGAACAAAACACCTGAAATAAATCTATGAAAAGATGCTGTTTTATTATGAAACCTCGGGTGAGCAAAAACACAGAGTTAGTGTTTCAGACTAAACTGCACCTCAGACTTTAATTTTGTTTTCTGGATGAACAAACATGAAAAAGAATGAATCAAATCAATTATAAAAAGATATTCAAGTCAAAAGGACCATGCTAAAACCTTTCCACTAAGTCCTTAAAGTGGCAGTGTATATTTTTCCTGGCGATAGGGGGCAGTAGATACCCAAATCATTGCAGGCAAGTAGTATTTTTGTGTTGGAGTAAGACCTTACCAACGGATGCCCATTAGGGTCAAAAAGCCCTGGGGACTGCAAACTTAAGCAAAGTAGCAAACACACCAGACTTCCTTTCATCACTGAAAACGAGTGAAGAGGTAAATGTGTAAAACAACGTTTATGAATGGTGAAAGTTTTGTAACCGTTTGTTACAAATCAGTAAATGCATTTTGTCCTCACGGGCTCCTGTAGAAGGAAACATGGCATCTAATATGGCGTCACCCAGAGACTTCGACACGCTCCCATGTATTTTAGAGCAGATTTTTCTAGTTATATGTAGGATTAGGCATCGTTTGATTTTGAACAATTCCAATTCCTCGTTTCGATTCCGGTTCCTATCGATTCCCGATTACGATTCTTTCAAGCCATGACATGCTTTACATGAGCTAGCTAACCACAGGTCCTACTTGATGAAATAATCTTAACTTCAACATGAATTTTAATAACATCTCCTTCATTTAGACAAAAACATATTTTGGAGGAAAAAAAAGAAAAAGACTTGCAGCACAACCAGTGTGTTTGTTTCTGACCACAACCAAAGTCTGGAAGAAGCCTCTGGGATGAGAGGCTAAATGTCTCCAACAGGAGCGTCCAGCTGTTTTCAGCTAAAACTCATGTCATGATCATGTCCAGGATGACTGAGAACTACACCTCCATGCTGCAGCAGCTTCAGTCAGAACAGAAAGTGAAACTTAAATGTAGCTGCTGTCAGTAAGAATCTAACAGATTTTAAACATTAAAACTCTCAACAGAAATAGTTCAGAAAGGAAATAAAAAATGTTATTTATTATTATTATAATTATTTATTGTGGTGTGGTCCACCACAGAGAAAGCTGCTCGTGCGTGATGTCTTTAATTATTCTACAGATTAATGTTCAGCCTTCTGACGCTCACACACACACACACACACGAGTGTTGGTGAGTGGCTGCATCTGACTGCTGACGCTCTGTGTGTGTTTTTATTTCTGCAGTGAGAGAAACTCACCTCACACCGTCCAGAGTTTGTTGTTTAAAGCTTCTATTAAATCCACCGTGTTGACGTATTTAGACAAGTTTCCGCTACGCTGCAGGAGTTAAAGTTTACATTCCAGAGTAAAAGTTCGGCAGACGTGTTTGTTTATGTCTGGGTATGGGGAGGGGGGACTCAGTGCTGCACACAGACAGCTGGTGTGATCAGCTCTGATCACACAATTTGCAGATCACGTTTATTTTTCATGGAGATCGGCTGCGGATTCCTCTTCTATCAGCATTCTAGGAATCAAAACTAGGAATCGAAATGAAAAACTTTGAACGATTCCTGGAAAAATGAACAGTTGGAACCGGTTCCAATCAATTCTCGATGCCCAACCCTAGTTATATGTGTGCAAATATTTAAAACAACTGGGCTTTTTATTCATTTCTAACAACTTTTCAATGGATATTTCTAGAGATTAACAGTAAAAACTACACATTGTCTCTTTAAATGTCTTTTTCCCAACAGAAAAAAAAAATCCCAAACCTAAATGACTTTTTTAACTCATTTTGGACGACAGATTTGAACTTTGTCCCGTGTTTGGCCTTTCAGTGACTTTAACTCAGTAGTTCTCTGTTTTCTCTCCTGTTGTAGGATGTTTTCAGCGCTGAAGCACATTTCCATACTTCATTCTGATGTAAACCTTTAGGACAGCGGGCCTTACATGCACGAAGCTACCAGAGGGCAGAGAACAGGGAGCTAAAGTGGACACGCTGGAATAAAATGGAAAAACTACTGTGGATGCCTGATAAATAATAAATGAGAGCAGTCATAACTCAAGGATTTTTATGGATCTGGTCTTTCTATTTATTATCCCAGAAAAAACAGAGATGAATCATTTATCTGAGTTTTTTTCACTCAAACTCCGGTCTTTAAAACACTAACAGTAAATACTAATATAAAATACTAAAAATGGTCTTTAATGCTCCATTTTTATTGCCTATAATATTTATGATCTATGACATCTAAGAAGGCGAGTTAGAGAACATATTCTTACTGTGTTCTTAACCATGTAACTATAATTATCCTCAAGGGGGATATTACGGGGTATTACGAAAGTTTCAGTCAGTAATTTACAAAGTGTAGCGCACTCCAGCTCCATATGGGAGAGAGACGAACAAATAAATTACTGGATCAATGTTTTGGACATCACAGCTTTTTACAAGATCAGCCAAATCCTGTGAAGGCCAAACACTGATCTAATAAGTTTAGTTTTATCCTCACATATGGAGCTGGAATGGGCTGTGCTTCTGAAAGTTTCACTTATTTACCTTAGATTCTCATTCCTGCATGTTTTAAAATAATGTTTTATTCCAACATCTCTAGATTATTGAATATTTCTTCTTCAGTTAAAGGTCCTGTTAAACCTCATTTTAGACACGTATGACCATGTCATATTGCTATTTCCTCATATAAACACCCCCAAAGCATTTTTCCTGTCTCAGCAGCCTCTTCCCTCTAGCTCTGCTAAACTCAGATAAGCTACTGCAGATGCCTAGAAAGGATATGGTTACATTACCATGCCCCCCTTCTCCCCTTCCAGGTAGTTTTGACTGTAAACACTAACACCCAGTCTCTTTGAGTAGTTAGTGGGAGGTTTAACTTCCCTTGTTTTGAAGAAGTGAACTCTTTCTTATCTAGGCTGCACATTAGGCAATGCCTAGAACCCAAACAATGGATTTTTGTCTGTGAGAGGACCAGGATCCCTGTCCAGTCTTCCTGCATAGGAGTTGAATAGGCAGAAATGGTTAGTTTTATCTTCAAGAGCTCTCAAAAATCTAGCTGGAATGTGACCATTATTTCACAGACTGTTAAATCCCCGCCAGTACTTGAATTGGTTTTCAGACAGATTACTTCCTCAAACTGATGCCATTCCAATGTTAAAACCACCCGATGGAGAGGCCAAGACGATGAGTAAAACCAAAATGCTAACTGCTAGCCACTAGCTGAATGGTAATATCATTTGGTGGGTAAGTGTCATGGACGGACTGGGACAATAACTTATCCCAGCCGCCTTTTCCCCATCTGATTGGTGTATGTTTGGCAGATGTTGACATGAATCTGCAATTTCTGGGTCTGCAGCTGTGTACTATTGTGGAATTCATGGGTGAGTCAGGGTGTCAGCTAATCCAAGCGTCTTATTTCCGGATTGAAGCAATGTCTCAAAAAAATTATTTATGTGTAATAAAAAAGTAACATCTGAGAATGGATGCCAACAATATTTGTTATATATTGGGTATATAGTTGCTGTGGAAGGTGTAAGCTAGCGTGACGCAGGTCTTTTAAGTTCAATTAGACTAAAATGTGTCCCACCAAATGGTCAACCAGGAGAAAAGGATCAGATAAACTGAAATAAAAACAAAAATCATGAGTAATGTCAATTATTAAATGTTTGGCAACTTTCTTACGTACTCAGACTATAATCAGCTGGACTGTCTGTGCATTGATTTGAGGATTATTCAGAGGCTTCTGGACTGGAATGAACTGGATTACGTTTGCTTGGTTTGTTTTATACAGATTACTAAAGTTGTAAACAGATGCAACGTGAATATTTACAACACTGACTTCTGTTTGAACTTGTCCAAAACATAAAAAGCCTAGTTTCCAAGAACGACGTGTTCTCTGCTCCAAAAACGCCGGTTTTTATTATTCATCATCTCTCTGCTGTATGAACCAACTCCCAGGTTACTATTAATGCTGAAACACAATCAGCAACAGAAGACCCACAAATCCCCACAACACACACCATGTCAGTGTCTTTGAATGCAGCAATTTATTCTAATCCCCTCGAAACGGTGCAGCCCAGACACGACCAACAAAAGGGAATAAATATGTATTTGTCCCTAAACAGTATGAGTGTGTGTTTTGGTTGGTGATGGTGCACAAACGGAAACATCTCATCTTCTTCTTTGTTTGTTTTGTGTAGATTTTGTATATTTTCTTACTGCTGGTGAATCTTTTGTGAGTCAAAGATTCAATGAACCACATGAAGCAGCAACAGATAACATGTAGGGTAAAAATAAACAAATACAGACTCACACGCATTTGACTTATTTGTAGCAGGCACCATCATTTACACACACTTACAGTAAGAAGCACACACTCTCAGAGGGCAGAAGATAAATTGTTAAAACGTTCCGTGAATGTCAAAATAATACACAAAACAGGAAATGTCCTGCTGGATGCATCCAAAGTGCAGATGCATGCTTGGATGCACACGTGCACGATGCACGTATACACTAATGCACCGCTGAAATGGATGCATGGATGCAGCTCACCACATGTTTACGTGGCGATGAAGCAACAGCACACACACCTTTCATGCAAATGCATCACACACACACACACACACACACACACACACACACACACACACACACACACACACACACACACACACACACACACACACACACACACACACACACACACAAACACAAACACACACACACACACACACACACACACACACACACACATACACACACACACACACACACACACACACACACACACACACAGGTGTAATGGTGATAAAATGACTAAACCCTTCCCTTGAACATTCCCGACTCTTCCAGGATTGTGTAAAACACGTGTTTATGGCTTGTATGAATGTGATGCATTCAGATTTATCCAAAACTCAATGTTCCTGTTTCGGTTCAGATGACTCTGGTTGGGGGAAGGGTTGGAGTCCCTGCAGCCTGTTATTATGTCTAATCCATCAGATAAATACTCCTTATAGTTCTTTGAAACATTTGATTATATTTAAATTAGGAAAACTGGGTTTTCAAAAATGACAAGCAGAGCTCAAAATGGCTTTGATGGTTTCTTAGTGACGAACATGAGATCTCTGAGGAAATCTGTGAAGCTCACAGAGACGTCTGTGTTGGTTTGCTTTAATTTAACAGCCTTGGTTCCAACTTTTGCATTGGACTGACTTTAAAACTTTATTAGCTACGTCTACAGCAGCATGACTAAACATTATGGTTCCGAAATACTAAAGACATCTTTAAATTATATCTGATAAACTCTGGGAAGGCACACACACACACACACACACACACACACACACACACACACACACACACACACACACACACACAGAGCGAGTGCATTTTCTTCAATTAGCTCAATTTCAGACCATTGAACCTGTTTGACCTCAATTTCACATTTAATGCCTGACTTCCCTAAACAACAACACAGCTGGTGATTCTGCACAATTACGTTTTTATAACTGAACAAGTGTAAATGATGAAGTTATTCAGGAGAACCTTTTCTATGACTTTACTGGAGCAACGATTCAGCGACATCAGAGGATCAGAGAGGTTAAAGCTCTGACGCCTTTGGGCTCATGGCAGCTTCACCTTTTAATGTATTTTAGGTTAGTTGGTAAATGTGACCTTGTGATGGACTGGTACCGGTCCAGGGTCCATCCCGCTTCTCGCCGCTTTTTTATGTTGTTTGTTTCTTTGGATAAAAACTAAGGAACAGGAACTAAAACCAGTTTGAAAAACTCACCATATCTGTATGTTAACAGATGTGAGTAAACAGTAAGTGTGAAATATATTATTCAAACGTTTTAGTCTCTTCAGTGAAAGATCACACAAGAAGAAATGTAACTAAACACAAATTTATAAATATGCAAAGGATTGGAAAATATTTAAAATTATATGAGCCCACAGTCAAAAATCTAAGATCAGTGTCTCCTGCTGAATAAAACTGGGGAAAAAAAGAGATGTCCCTGTACTTGTTCATACTTCTAGCAAACCAACAACAGGGACCTGAGAGGAGATGGAGAACCCTCACTAACCCTTCGTGAGCCACAGCCCAGTACAGACTGGACCTAAAGGACTGCAGCAAGGACACAAACTGGTTCCAGGATCAAGTAGGGCTATGTTACCATGGCAACTGTATGACGCAGAGGAGGCACAAATTTGTGGAAATTTTTGTCTTAAACAAAAAATAAAGATACAATTAAGGACTTCAGCTAAGAAAACCAATAAATGATGATGGAACAAACAGCCTCAAAGCAAAGGCACTCTGAGGACAGTCCCCATGGGTGAGTGTAGTCCAGTAGCTGGAGGACTTTTAGACAAAGAGACAGCCATGACCTCCCTGATCTTCACCTCTTTGTCATCCGAGCTGCTCAAAGGATCAGATGTGATCATTAGCCCAGGATGCTGAGTCAGAACCGACACTAAAATCATCCAAGGACATACATATTTGTGGGCTCAGCTGTGAGTTTGTTATCAGGATAAAAAAAAACTCAGGTAGTTTCAACCAGTAAAGATGATTAAGATGACAAATTACTGACTGAATCTCTGGTTTTCATTTTTCATAAACAGACCTATATCCTCCTTTCCTCCCGATCACACAAATACACACAAACATGCAAACACACACAAAAACACAACCATTCATGTCATCAGAGCTGGCGTACTGTTAACACTGTTTAAACTTGTGAGGTTGCCGAACCTGCAGCGAGCTCATGCTGCAGCACAGGAATGAGTAAATCAACAACGGCAGACAAAAAGCTCCAGCGTTCTTTAAAGAACTGTAGCCAGTAAACAGGAGCGACCCAGAAGTTATTTCTTGTACCCCTAAGAACACGCGGCATCTTTCTGTTTTACTCCAATATCATGTGAAGCAGAATAGAGGCTAACACTGAGCTAACAATGCTATCACTTCCTCTATGATGGAGACAAACTACCGTAATAAATGTAGTAAGTGCTCCCTACCACGAGCCCCTAAGAACGGCAACACCAGGTATGATGATGTATTTATATCTACTTATCAGCTTACTGTGTGACTCATATTTACTTGTCATCTAGAATCTTCTGGTAACAGCCATGAAACTCACGGAGCAGCAGGGAGAAAAATATTGGACTGCAGTACCCACATTTGACCACAGAATGTAATTCTTAGAAACTGCTTCTTTAAAATCACCAACAACCTGATTCATTTCCACCTGAAGGACTCCCTTTTCTACCTCCTAGAAAGAAATGATCCATAAATTAATTATGAAAACTTACATTTTTTAGCTCAGTTTTAAGTTTCTTTCACCTGTGAAAGAATGCCTGAGTTGTTTTTAGTGAAAACCCAGTTTCATTGATATTCACTGATAATGTACATTAAAACTAAATGTTTTTATCCTGAACTTTTACCCGGTTTGTCATTATTTGTGTCATTTGCTCACTAGAACAATTAAATCCTGCATAGGAATCAAGAACTTAACTTAATTTTTTTTGTTTCTCGTCACACAAACACAGAAGAACCCAGAACACACCTGATGGTTTTTCCCTCCCTTAGATCATACAGAGAGAAGAATATGTCCGTGTCCTCCCCGATGTTGTAGGTGAAGCTCTTCAGGTTGACCAGTAGGTGGTGTGGTACAGGGACCCTCGAGGGTTCTCCATGTCTCTGCCGAGTGTTCTCCCCCTGGGAATCCACCCAAAAACATCAGTTTTTATGATGCACACTCTAAAATGTCATTAAAACAATACTTTTTTTTTGGGGGGGGGGGTCATTCTCTTATTATTAAGGTCAGATTTTTGCTAAATTAAAAGTTGTTTGCCAGTGAGTTTGAACATTGAAATAGTTCATTTATTTTGCAGATGCTTTTAGCCAGAGCTATCAAGTGTGCCGCCATGCATCCTAGTAATGACTCTTTCTTATTATGAGACATAAAACATCTTTGTTGTTTCATTTAAACTGAACATTGAGAAAAATTGATTTAAAGATCTAAATATCACAAAGTGTTCTTACCTGTGTGGTGCTCTGCTGAATGTTGTGTCTGCTGGACAGATGCTGGAAAAAAATACAAAGCGTTTATTAGAATCAAATTATTCTTAGAATCTTATTCTAAAGACCTTCTCTTCATTTCTCTTTACTGTTCCTTCTTGTCCACATTTCTTTTTCTTTTCAGTTTTCTGTTCTGTTTTATCGTTCCTCATCTTTCCCTTTTCTCCACTTTCCTCTCCTCTTTCTGATTTCAGCCTTTTGATGCTTCTGTCTAACCCGACTCCAGATTCCTTTCCCCATTTTGCTTTCATTCTCAAACAGGGAAAAGCTCTACTAACCCGAAATCCTTTACTGAGCAACAATAACTCAAATGCTTCCTGATTAGTTAAGGTAAATGGTACAAAATAATCTAAATATTCTAACCTCTAACTCTGAAGCTACCTGGTTCAGCAAAACTAAAACCTGTAATAATATTTTGTTTTCATCTGTGATTTTATGAATGAAGGTAAAATATAAGCAGCCAAAAAGGGAAGAAAATCTGATGAATGATTTTTTTTATCTATTAAAAACTTTTTGTATCGTTCACCTGAAACCTCCAGAGTTCAGAATGGATTTTTAAAATTAATTACTACATAAAAATGCCTCATTTATCAGATTTGAAAAAATAAAACTTTCAACTTTCATAGACCCGAATCTTTTTAATGAAAGCTTCCATTGAAATAATCTGATGAAGACAAACTGAACAAAAATCTGACTGAAGCCTGATCAGGAAGAAATACAGCAAAACACAGTATTTTTTATTTGATTTAGTTTTATTCATCTTTGAAGAAGGAAATCTTGTTTTGAAACTATGTATTTTTTGCACTCTGAACACTTAGCATGACTTTTGTTTCATCTCTATTTGTTCACACTTCCTCTGCTTTCATCCCAAACCTCTGCATCTCCATTTTCCTCAGCCTTCTCTCATCCTCTTTCCAGATCAGTCTCCAAGCAACAGAAGAACAGAGAAATCCAACATCAGAGATTCTCTGGGCAGCTTCACTCTTTAAAAAGCACTCAGCTTAAAAAGTGAATCACTCAGAGACCAGAAATTACTAAGTCATCATTGGGCCGCATCAATCCAAACATTAATTAGTGTGGATATTTTAATGGATTATTTATTCAAACAGGCCTGGAAATCTGATCAATAAACACTGAGATATGTGTATGGCTCTTCTGTAAGAGTTTTAACTCTAGAAGACAAAAACTTTGCCGAAGTCAGAAGTTTAGTTGACACGTGTGCATTAACACTAGGAATGGGACTCGGTTAAAAAATGTATGTTATAACTAATCTTGATTAATCGCATTTTAATCGTTCAAGACAAATAGCGCCCAAGCATTATTGCTTTATTAACAGTAATGTTAGTGAGGCACAGATGACACGCCCACACTTATTTGAATATATTTCTGTAACCCACGCCATCTGTTTGATTACTTTGGTCTCGTTGTAAAGATAACCGTTGTGGGATTTATTGGGATGTGTCAATGTTAGTATTTGTGTTACTGGGGACATTAAACATGTTGTGTACTGAACTGAACACTAGGTGGCAGCAGAGGTGTAGCGTAGAGTTCAGGGGATGTTCTGCTGAGGACTAAAGGATGAATGCTGTGTGCTTGACCCTCCTGCTGTAATAAAAGTTTACATTGAGAGTTTCTGCCTGCCTGCTTTCTACCAACTACAAATGGTAAAAATGTTGATATTTCTGTCCTTCTTGTCTTTACGAAGAGCGATTTGTCATGATTCATTAATTGAAGTTTTAGTTGTGTTTGAAGCACGTAAAAAGGTGTATTAGGTCCTGTAGCCCAGGCTCTGCTGTTCTTTAAGAGGTTCTGCTGATGATAATCTTGGATGTATAGGCCATAAACATTTTTGCTCCCAGTTGGTGAGGACACTCAGACTTAAGCAGACATTTTTAACGCATCATTTTTATAAACAATCATAATTAATCCTCCCACTGTCCTAATGGGTGTGACCCCACGAAGGGGTGAGGAGTGAGCACCACATCACCCCAGCCACGTGGACCTCAAGGGATAAACCATCAATCCTGCTCAATTGTAAACTTTCCTCGCGGGGTCACACCCACTAGGACAGTGGGAGGGTTAACACATTAAATCCCCACCCCTAATAAATACACCAGTGTCATGGAAAGAAAAAAAGACAAGTATGTTGCATGATTTCAATGTTTGAATATGATTTTGTTGCACTTATGAAACAAATTAAACATTTAAACCGAATCAACACAAACTTTGAGCTTCAAGGG